AGAAAGCGCAATCAAAGCAAATTTAACTGTACGTGGGCAAACATGTCAACAAACAGACATTCCGTCATGTGCGTACACTGGAGTATGCCACATGTGCATATGTATGTGTGAGTATACAGAGTATATATATATGTGTATGTGTATGGGAATGTGTATACTATGAAAAATCGGTAAATGAGTGCCTTTTATGTGTCTGTCTGTCTTTGGCATGTGTGCACATGTGATGAGCAAAAAATTTATTGCGGATAAAAGTAAGTGCACGAAAATCTCCTGCAAACCTACACACGCATATATGTTACTGTTGCTGGCTCGCATACAGTCACATTGAATGGGGTATATAAGCAATCGAATTGCAAAAAATCGACTTTAATTTTATGAAAAGTTATGAAAGCTTGCGTACTAAGACAGAATAATGCCAGAAAAAAGTATAACTAAAAATCAAAGAGTTAAATGGAAGAAAATAGAAAAAAGAAGCGAAAAAGCAATAAAATGATTTGTCAATATCACATGAATGTTGTCAAAGAAACTTTCAAGGACTGCCTAATAAGATTACGTATGGCTAGTAATAGACTTCCTTATGTACATAAAAGAAAACCTATCAGTATCCTTCTTCTATATTGCTAATTTTCTCTCCTTCAACCAAAAATGCACTTCATCAAAATGTTTTTTTTTTTCTTTTCTTTGTTTTGGCCTCAAGAGTATGGTAAAATTTTTCTCCTGAGTATTTCACATAATAAATTATTTTAGATAACTTTCGATAATTTTCGATAATTTAGTCTGTTTCATTTCCTTCCCCCAAACAACGCACTTCTTCCTTTTCTTGTCTTCCCAAAAATACTAAAATTATTATTCGCCTGCTCATCTTTCAGAGATTTGACAAAGCGCTAGCACATACAAGACATCCTCAGCCGAATATTATATTCTCTTCATGCTACGTTGCTTAGTAGCCAAATTAAAAGTGACGCAAAAGCATTTCAACGCAAGCAACCGTAAATTTCGTGTCACAAATCTGAGCGAAGATTATTTTTAACCACGAAGTATCATCGCAACATTCTGATATTATTTATTTTTATACACCTACGCATACAAGACCTACCGACGCTTAATGCGAGTTTTGATTCAATATTGTCTGTTTTTGATTCACCACACATTGGAGAGTAGTGAATCGATTACACTATATCTAATGTTCAAACAAACGGATATGATTTCCGTTATAACCCTCTGTAATTGCTTCGCGATTTTTTTTAGTGGAGAAGTTCTGCTTTGCGTGTCAACAAATGTTTCAGTAACTCTTTAGTTCGACGAACACGATGACTACTGCTCTTGAACTTAGCAAGTGAGCTCCATCACGGCTTCGCAAAGGACCGAACTGATATATGGATGGCTTATTGGTCTACCAGATTAACCTTACCTATATGAAAATGCTGAAGGAAGTTAGCTATTTTTTTATATTTAAAGTATGGTGTAGTGTACCATGACAGCCTATTTTTCATAAATTTCTCAAAGCACTACCTTATTATTTATGTGCAACTATTGATCTTCAGATACAAGCCTCACTCCGGTTCACACAAACCGTGCACTCTTTTGCCTTCGTTTTCGCTGTGATTCGTTATTGTTGTAATGTTCCGCAATAGCGCTCGTTTGAGAAACACTATATTTTTATTTTCACCTCAGCACCAGTAACCCAATTTGTTGAAGTGACTTGGTAGCGCTGCAACTCGAAACACCAGTAATTGACGAAATGTTACGAAACAAGCGCACAAATACAAGCAAAACAAACACGCAGGCGAAACATTTGTCATACATGTAAGTTCCGTGTTCGACTTCTTACGACACTTTGCATGTGGGGTACACAAGTTTAGTACAAATGTTCCGGCAACACCTTCACCAAAGTGCTTGTGCGCATGTGTGACTGAGCAAGTGGGCTTGGAACTTGCCTTTTTCGCATCCAGCTAAGTCGCGGCGCAACAGCAGCTGCCAGTGTTTCTATAACTATGTCAGATATCCACTCGTGTTTCGCTGGCAACTTTCATTGAAGTTGCCAACTTTTGTTGACACAAAGTCAAATGAAGTGGATGCGCTTGCTCTCAATGGAATTCAGCTTCGCGCGTAAGCATGTAAGCGTTTGAAAAGTTTCTAACGACACCGGGATGTACGATGACGAAACTTGCTTGACAGTGAGTGAGTGAGTGAATGGTGAGAGCATGAGCGTCTAGTCGTTAGAGTTTAAAAGTGAAATATTGATAAATTTATGAAGGTATTCAGGGAGGCAAGTTCACATTAAAAACGATGCGCGGAGGTGAGATAAGGAAGTTTTCGCAAAACAGGTGTTTAACCTTCCAAATATTTAATGGGTGTCAATTTTTTGTAGTACTGAACATTATAAACATGTCTTCTTCTTCTTCTTAACTGGCGTAAACACCGCTTACCCGATTATAGCCGAGTTAACAACAGCGCGACAGTCGTTTCTTCTTTTCGCTATGTGGCGCCAATTGGACCTGGTCCTTCCAGCGGAGTGGAGGTCTTCTTCTTCCTCTGTAACTATGTAGGCGCGCTTAAAGTTAACAGAAGCACCTTGTCATAGCCAAAGCAAATTATTGAAGAAAAGTGTGTGGAGAATGTCTTACAGCTGTTCTGAATATATAAAAAATTTGGAGCCCTACTTAACTTTCAGAATAAATCAATTGTTCTAATGGTTAAAAAGAGGTCTATAGAACCTTTAGTTCTCAATCTCACACTGAATTAGTTATACAATTTCATACGAAGGTTGCCCTTTATTTCCCAAGTTTTAACAAGCTTAGACACCTAAACAATATGCATCTCACAAGCTTGCCGTTAAGTTTGACTTCTTAATACTATATCGACTCAGAATGTTTGGCATACGAGAATTCATTGTTCACATTAATTTAAAAGATTCATCATTTCTGAAAATATTGCACTGTTGGAATAATCTCTACCATAACAATAGGCAAAATGTGGTCGATAAAAATGGTATATTTTGTTCATTAAAATTCATTACAAATATAAAACACGACGAAAAAGACTTTTCGACTACCTATAAGGCGAATACGCTCGCATGGTTCGCGGATCTGCTTATTCTTTAGGAGAGTTTCTTTTTATGGTAATAACTTCGCAAAAAGTCAATACATAACTAGTACATAAAATAAGTTTCAAAAAGTCTCAACTGTTTTGCCAATATTATTGCAATAAGAGCAACTTAGAAGTCTTATTGAGTGTCATAAAGAAGCGACTACATTTATCGGCATGTTTGCATTAGAGGCGCAGTCGTATGTTATATTTACGGCATAATAAGCTAGGCAATGGCAAGCAATAAATTCGTTGTTACCATATCCGAAAAGCATGGAAGGCATTCCTTTTACTTTTACATAAATTAAAATAACCCACAAGTGATTGTCGTAAATTGAAAATGAATTGTATTAACCGATAAAATGAAGTGCAGACAAGCACAAACCTCCCGACAAACGCACACGTGCAGACAAATCAACAAAAAAAAAAAAAAAAACGAAAACGAAAACAGCCATACGTACGCACTCAAACAAAGTAGTTGAGATAGCAGTGCCTTTTCGGAGGGAACGCTGATCAACCATAAAGCCATGCAACCAACCGAATCAAAAACATTGGAGCATATCGAACCTTGCATGTCTCGCCGTAATTACTGGCCTACCAAACGGCAAAAAATATGAAGGCAGCAGCAGAAAACAAAACCAAAAAGTGATAAACAAACTGAGAGCAGTAAACACGAAGCAGCGAAAAGGTATTCAATCCAAGTAAAAAAAGTTGCAATGCCGATACAGAAAGGTTGAGGGCAAACAGAAATAAATTCCAAACAGACATTGGCTGTCATAAAAACAGCGCAAACGTACTTCGTGTAATGAGTACAACAGTAGAGTAGCGCAAATAATATGCGACGACACTAATATGACAGCAAACTGTATTGGAATGCAGGGCCTGTGCCTAAATGTAGGCCATAAATATTGTATTACGCTGCGCCAGCCCGTTCATGCCCACCACCTGAGTGTATTGAGTATTGAAAGTTAATCAGCGCAGCGCCGCCGTGTTTGAAGGAATACACCACCGACAAGAATTTGCACTTTACACCGCAAGCCGCATGACAATTTTCCATATCACAAGTTGAGCACGATTCGCCATTAAAATAAATAATATAAATGTATAATAACCTTGACGTTCCGTTTGAGTTAAAATAGCAAATGAACGATACAGGAAGGCAGTAGGTAATAGCTGAAAATAGAAAGCCTGGCAAAAGTGTCTGCGTCTCAAAGGTTGTCAATGGGCCAGGCGACCACAACGAAACGACCGCATCTGTCATGGCAACATCATTTAAATCGGACAAATAAATTATGTGCTTGCGGTTTCAAATATTGTTCGCGATTTTTCTTTAATTAATGGTTCAACAAAAATATGTTTACTATACAACGGTGAATATTCTACGAGCTCTGCATAAGGCCAGGCATATTTTATTGCCCAAACCTTTGTGTGATTTATCGATATTGCTTATTTGTGATTATGCGCCTTCGAATGCGAATTCATTAGCCAAAGTTTGATGCGCCAAAATGTAGGCCACAAAACGCGTTCAAGACGATTTTAATGTTATTCGAAATCAAAACAAAAGGGCACTAATTAATTGCGCGCCTCAACAAATGCTGAAACAATTAGGGTTTACAGGAGGATTATTAAGCATTTCAAGAAAGAGTATATTCTTCGTCGATGTATAATTTTGGACGCAGAGTTCAATAGTTTAGCATTCGGTGCAGCATACTTTTGCACGTAGAGTTTAATAGTTAATTCTACATTCAGTATTAAAATGTATTAAACAAAGAGTTCATTGCGGAAGCAAACTCATACTTTACTCAATAATAAAATGAAATAACAGTTGACTGCTTTTCAATTATATACCTAAAGAAAAATATATATTAACATTTTCAAAACTTCGGCTAATTTTCAAAAATATCTCGTTTCAGATTTCGTTACTTCACTGCGAGACGTACGCGTCAAAATTCCACATGCCGCGCGACGCGGTGAAAAGGTGACATTGAAGTGTCTCTACGACTTGGAGGGCGACAGTCTGTACTCAGTGAAATGGTATAAAGGACGGCGCGAATTCTACAGTTTTACGCCGAAAGAAACGCCAGCAATTAAAGTCTACCAGATAACAGGCGTGAGAGTAGAGGTAAGTAAAAAAATATGAAATTATATTCGAATTTCCGGTATAGAAAAAAAATTCTCGTTCTCAAACGAGAAGAAACTGGTACTGAACGAAACCGAGGAGCGTTTAGCAATTACGAGAATTGTTAATTAGAATTAAAAACTTTGCGGGTTTCTTATGTTGGCTTACCCTGAAGTACAATTATCAGTTGTATTCATTGCTTGCTTGTTCAATACTCGTTTATTAGAAGCTCATACCTCGTTGTTTGTTTGTAAATTTTTTGCCAAAAACAACAATGTAACGATGCTTAAACCTCCATATTGGCCTTGCGTGGCACCGTGTCAATTTTCGTAAAATAGAAAGAACCTTAAGGCGCCGCCGTTTTACAAGGTAAATGAAATCACTGAATGGGCTAAAGACTATCCCGAAATCGAATTTGAGAAGAAACTTCACGATTGGAAGAGCGCTGGCAAAAGTGTATAATATCCAATGGAGACTGTTCGGAAGGCCAACATTAATGTACGAATGCAGAAATATTTCTTTAAAAAAGAACAAAATCTACGTACATGTTTTGTACAAATCTCATATGTGGTAGTCAAAAAAGTATTTTCAACTTTCTGTTCAAAGTTCAACTTTTTATTTTTCAATATCTATAATCAACTTTAATGAACCATTTTGGTCGATCACTTTTTGCTATTTTTCCGTCAGAGACTTTATTCCATCAGTATAAAACTTTACTGGTTTCTCGGCGAAAAACTGCTACAAGTGCTTTTTACAGGCTGCTGTTGAAGCCAACTTTACTTTATTAAGGGAGTTCTGCATTGACCGAAACAAACGGTTGTCCGATGGTGCAAGGTCAGCGCTATATGGTGGATGCATCAAAACTTCCCAGCCAAGCTCTCCCAGTTCTTGCCGAATCGTCAAAGATGTGTGTGGTTAAGCAATATTCTTCTCTTGTTTAAACAAAAATTTCAAAATTAAGCGAATTATTTCATTATTCTCACTATTTTTGAACCGCTGTACGTTTTTTTTTTTCAACTCTCCCGAATTCAATTTTTTGGGAAAACGAAACTTAAAATCTTACCATTCCAACCACGACTGCAGCGTCATCTATTGACAAAATACGAAAATACTTTTTCGACTACCCAATATTTCTTTCAAAAAAGAAAAAAACTAAAGTCAAAGTTATTTTATGAACTCATCTCATATATTTATATACACGCTTTAAAGAAACAAATCCTGTCCAGACATTACCTAAACGTTGCAACTACGTTGCTTATTAACACTTGCTGTAGCCATTAACAAATATTCGCCCAGTGCTAAAGACGGCTTCAATGTACCATCTCAAAAGCTGAATTGCTTAAATAGTTGAGCGCAGAAACCGCGCATGTCGACAAATAAACACGTGAACTTTGTAACCGCAATTTCGCGCACGTTGCTTATTTACATTGTGTACATTCCTAGAGTGGTGGCCTCTATCCGACAGCAGCAAGCAGTAGAACGCAAGAATGTCGACAAAATTCATATTTCGAAATTATATAAGTTGCTGTGTGCATGAAACTTTCGTGTTTGTATTCAATGCTGACAACAACTTGGCGCACGGAGTGTGGTTTCATTACTGTCACTCTATTTGGCGCCGTCACCGCAGAGCGCGCTGCGTGTTTTCAAAGTGTTGCTGCTTGGAAGACTCTCAAATGTAGAGCGAATGAAGTTAGATTGGCTGCTTGTTGAATTAAAACTTTGCGCTTTGACTTGAATATTCATTACTTTTTATTACCGTTACACATTTTTCCACTGCCAATTGCTTTCGATGCGCAGCAGTGAGGCTCAGAATTCAGCCATGGAATTTCAAAATTAATTGCTTTTGATTGTTGGAGTGCTGCGCTGGCGGTAATTGCTTGTTTACACGCCTTTGATTTTAAAGCAGCAATATTTGCAATTGCTGATACTTTGGTAAAAGTTCGAATAGCTTTTTGAATTCTTCTAGTGGTGAAACACAATTACATTAATTTAATTGTCTATGCAAATGAATTTAAGTTTAAATTTATTTACAAATTTTAAACGTCTACGAAAGCATTAGTCTGACAAAAAGTCGAGAAACATATTTATTTGGTTTAAACTGCTTTTCTCTTAAGAGTCTCTTAAGTCGAAAAGTTGCGTCATAAGAGCAAAGTAAACCACAGAGATTTTGGCTATAGTATCAATAAGCTTATAATAGTAAGCTAATCTAGCGGAAATAACACTTCAACTGAAATTGCCTGTCATAGCAGCACCAATCGGCTACATTTTCTCCCACCCAAGGATAAACTTTAATCTTTAAAACAACAACACACTCGGCGGACATCACATGTTCAAAACTAAAATTAAAGACAAAAGCAAGTATAAACAGAGCGAATATGCACATTATCCTTGCATACACACATATATAAGTGTCTATAAACTCGTACATATCATAAGCTAAGTATATGCACAGAGCAAGAGCATGTCACTCATACGCCGTGTCCACCAAATACGCAAGTAAAGCGAGCGCGTCAAAGTTAAGCACAAGTTTATGCGCGTATGTGTGTGACAAATCTTGAAGAAAAGTAGAAGGCGGATATCAAACGATATTAAAAAGTTTAAAATAAGTTAAAAGAGCAAAACTCGACTGGTGCGTGCCCCTTTTGTTGCCGAAAACAAAGCCAGTTGCACTTTCAACTTCAGCATACTTTACTGCTGGCGTTGTTAATGGTAGCGATTGTTCGTTTTTATATGTTTTATGGTTTTATGTACCCTGACACACAATTTTATTGCAATTGCTGGCTGCGAACGTATGCGTACGCCAGGAAATTGTGCGCGCTGCTACTCAGTTTAAGTTTTGCATGATTTAAAGCTCAACTTGTTCACAAACTTGTCCATTTAAGATTAAATTATGCTTAAAATTTAAATTATAACAACAAAATTTTACTTGAATGCACTAAAAATAGAATATGTAAATAAATACAAAAAGTTTTCCATACAAAGTCTGAATTGGCAACTATATGATATAGTTGTCTGATCGAAACAATTTGATCGGAGATTGTAGTGTTAGCTGGGATAATAATTGGTGTAAAATTTCGTGAAGAAATCTTTCCAAATGATAAAGTTGTCCATACCAGCACTTGAATGCGACCGTTGAGTTTGTATGGCAGCTATATGAAGTATACTCCGATATGGTTGGTTCCGGTAAAGTGAGAAGGATATGTGCGAAATTTCGGATCCATATGTCTAAAACTTAGGAAGAACTTCGCGTATATACAGTCAGACAGCCGGACTTGGCTAAATCGATGCTGCTCGTCACGCTAAGCATTAAAGTATCTGCTCCATAGGGACGAATGCTTCTGTATATAACGAACTTCATGCATTGTTGAGGGTATAATAAGCTCAAAATATAACCGAAAATTTCTCTCTTGACATAATCGTTGAATATTGAATATAAATACCTTTAGCTATCAATATTCATTAACCTCGATCAATGTCGTTTCTCATAACATAATTCGAAGTTTTTAATTAAGTGAAAATTTTGCCATTCAAGGATTTTTCATAAAACTAATTTGCTTTTAGTAAGCACATGTTTAAAGCCAGCTCATTTTACTTGCCACACACATACTATGAATCTCAAAGGCTTTGTTTTCAATTTTTGCTGTCAGCTGTCGACTGTCGACTTAGTTTCGAAACTCTTTTCACAAAAACTTCACTTTCACGTGTTTACTCCCTGCGCCATTGTGTTTATTACACCTGTGCAACATGTTGCAACGTAAATATAAGCACACATAATTTTTAATTTTCTAGCACCATGATTCAGCAACAGCACCAAAACACAACACACACAGGGTTGCTATACTGCTTGTTAATTTTGAAAGTGTCAAAGGCTTCGTTGGAGGCAGTTTGTTTTTATTTCGTCTCTTCGAGCGCCCAATTGTTTTTCGTTTTATTTGCCTTTACTTGCTGTGTGTGAAATTCTCACATTTTGCCACCTTTTATGAGGGCAGCATGTGTGCTTGCCGCTGCTATGCCAAATCCATGAAGCCGGTGCCAATTATATTTTTTTCCTCGTTTGCTGGTACAATTTCTCTAGTTGACGTCTCGTTCGTCGTCCTTTTTATTCACTTGCGCAGAAACTCACCAACTACGTAACTGTTCTTTTTCCAAACACAGCTTACATTTTTCCGCATATCTTGCATGTGTATGCCATGGTTGTTGCATGTTGCATGTTGGGCATGTGCAGGTGTGTTCATTGAACCAGCTAGTCACATGACAGTCTACTGGTCACAAGCAACGAATGTGAATGCTCCTTAAAAAGGCGAATGTCCTTTCTTATTCAAGCTGTACATTGGACAAACAGAGATTTCTCGTATCAAAAGTATTACAATTTTGATTAAATTATGTTTACTTGCTATCGATGGAGAACCGTTACAAAAGAATTAATTCCTCGTAACGCAGCGTATCGTAAATATTCCACAAATCGATAAAAGCGACTAATTAAAGTTTTTTCTTTTTTTTTATGAAATGCTAGCTGATTGTAATTAAGTAATCGAAAGCCATGCTCCTGGAATATTACTAAAATAACGGTGTATGCATAAAAGTTGAGTTAATATAGACACATAATAAAGGTTAATGCATTGGGCACTTTGACAAGTGAATGACCACACAACATGGCACGAGGACAAATATTGTTAAATCACGGTGGGCACTGTTGTCAGGGTCGTTGTAGGGTTGTTGTATGTGAGCGCCCCAGTGCATGTGTGGCATAAGCCGGCATATGTTTACCCAGCCGGTGTGAATTTGTTGAGCTCGATTTGTTTATTCTGTAATTAGCAGGTATAAATGTGTACCCAACAATGAAAGCCAAATAAAAGTTAGCAAATATAAACACGAAATAAAGCACGACAACAAAATCATTGGTATTCATGACACTCTACCGTGTACTTACACAAAAGGTTGCTTGGTAACAACTGTGTAATTTACTGCGGTATAAATATTTTCTCAAGAGCTTAGAAAAACCA